TAGGCGGGAAAATTTCACTTTACGGTATGGTCCTGTATCGTAAATTTTTCAACTGGAATCGGTGCAGCTCGGATGAGTTTGTGCGTGTTTCAGTTGAAAAACGATTGGGAAACATTTCTGGACAAAGTTATAGGCTTTAGAAAATCGCTAGTTCACTTTATGGTATGTGAACGAAACCTCAATTTTTGAACAGGAAACGATAAAGCTCGCTGGAGATAAAGCGTTCTGAGTTGAAAAACCATTGGGAAATTTCAAATAAGAAAGTTACGACGTTTCAAAGATATTTTTGCTAAGGACTGTGGGCTACGCAACACTCCTATCCCCGCATTCTAACGCGTGCGCCTCCGCCAGCGCTTACGCAATCTATCTAAAAGCATTTATAATTTTTAAAACTAGTGTTGTAAGCATATAATAGATAAATAACAGTTTGTGGTCTCCAACGTTGTCGTAGGTGGGCTGTCGCTTCGGATGGGCTGCCGCCCCACTCTTCCCGGAAACTGGGGCGCCTCAGCGCTGCAGCGCCCTCGGGCGCCCCGATTTCGAAACCCCTGTAATGAGCTCGCACCTATCCGAAGCGACTAGGCCCCCGGTGGTATCGAAGCCTTATTTTTGGGCTTAAATTGGGTATTCAGCTGGGGCAAGCCCTTCAAAAAGGCCGATATCTTGGTCAATTTTCATAGTAATTTCAAAAAGCTAAGAACTTCTGTCCAGGAAGCGTTTCCCAATCGTTTTTTAACTGAAAACGCATGAACTCGTCGGGATACATCGATTCCAGACGAAAAAATGACATTTTGAGAACATACCGTAAAGTGAAATTTAGCCGTAGTAGGCTACTTCTTTGCTATAGCAATTTTATAATACGCTATTATGAGACGTAGTGATGGGGTTATTCAAATCAAATCTTGACTCAAATCTGAGAGCTCAAATCTGAATATTTGAAGGCAAAATTTCAATTTCAAATCGGCGGATTTGATTTGAAACCCAGTGGACTGGTTCAAATCAATCCGGAGGATTTGATTAAGCTTCCGGTCCTTAATCAAATCTTATGGAGATGCCGGCATGCAAATCAGAAAAAAAATCGCTATGGCCGAGCTGGCGCGAACCGGAAATGACCTTGATTATGCATACCATCATACAATTAGCATCCGCGTAATGAGCTATTGATTTTTCGACTCCTTTCAAAATCCTCGTTCAAATCTTCAGATTTGAACTCAAACCTCGAAAGTCCAAATCAAATCGATTTGATTTGAAGTGCTGAAACCTTATTCAAATCAAACCGTCAGATTTGAGTAGGCGGATGCAAATTAGATTTGAGATTTGAATAATACCATCACTAATGAGACGTAACTAAAACACTTAGTATATTTTTGGCGCCCTTTCGAACGACGTATAGGAAATTCTGTAAAAATATCGAAAAATGCCCAAAACTAGCTTTCGACACTACACTCCCATTTGTAAAACTCGTTTATTTTTTTTCCTCCAACTTATTTATAGTACGGTATTCTGGGATGTAATTTAAACTCATAATATATTTTTGATGCTCTATCAAATAACATTGCAAAAATCCCGAAACCTATTAAATTCGCCGAAGAAAATCTCCCTGCTCGAAATAGAGCAGAACCCAGCCTCGAAACACTTCCGCGCTATTTACATTAGAAAAATAAGAACTTCAGGAAAGAAACCAGGTCCCCCCCCGATATTGCGAAAGAACCCTCATTAGAATCGACCATCGCTGTGGGTGCACTTCGGGCACCAGATCGACGAGATGGCCATCCTGCTGAGGCCAAGTCACCCTCCATCCGCGCCTATATGGCCACCTCGATGTCGACGAAGGGCCGTAACGAATGGGATCCCAGGCGCTTGAGGGACCCGGGGCTTATCGTGCAATTCCGTCGTACGCTCATCCCCGCCATCCACACCATCATAGAGGTCAATTTCGGGGTTTTGACTGTCTCGGACTCATCGCGCTTGTCCAGGCACGACTACAGGGTGTCCCAATAAAAAACGGCCTCTCAGTATTGCAGCAATGGGAACGGCGTGAACGCGAGATTGACGCCATCGTGCTTAAGGACCTTGACGATCCTTACTACACAATTGACAATGCTTTGTCGAGGGAATTTAACGCTGGTTTGTGCTAGATTTCTTCACTACAGGATGCCCCAAAATACCCCCCCTACTAGCGGCCCTAGAAGATTTGCAGTTTGGTTTCTTTCGCATCATCGGGAGGGGGGAGCATTTTTTTACTTAAAAACTAATTTTTCAACTGTAAATAGTGGGAGCGTTTCTAAGTGCAGGGGGGGAAATTTTACGCGGCGGGGGGACGGAACATGCACGCCTTTTCAATCTTTTCTTTTTATCGCGGGAATTTTGCAAGGCTTTCGATGGAGCGTCCAAAAAATTATGCTAATTTTTGTTTGGCTCGAAGTATCCTATATCCTACCTTATATAATTTTGGCGTGTATCTTTGTGTGTGTGCGAAGTCAGTTTCGAGGCCAGATTTGAGGGCCTTCCCGTGTCCAAAATGCCTCAATTCCGCGTCACTTGGGGGAATCGACCTTTCTGTTTCCGATGGCGTTCTCAGAATTTTGATAAAATACAAGTTTACAAAGTTAAACCCGGTTTTATTCATTTTTGGGGTCCCTGAGAGCTAATTTGCATAATATGAAAAAAATACAAATTTCCTCATTCTTGCAAGTTGCACGCGCGGGTGTGGTCGGATGAAGGGAGGGGTCTGAAGGACCCAAGCTATCGGAAAGTCAAATTTCTCATGCAAAGGCCGCATTCCAGCGCCCAAGGCCCGCGAAGCGGGTTTTGGGCGCTGGTTGTAATATAAAAAAGTTATAGTAATGAAAACAAAAATGAACTTTCAAAATCGGGTTGAGCGGCGATTTTTCGTCCTTTTAAAAACGCCATTCGATAGAGCATTCAAAAATATACTAAGAGTTTTGTTGGTAGCAAAAGAAACGCAAATTTTTTCGAAAAGCCCCTGACGTAGCCAAGGGCATTGTTCCAATTACCGAAAGCCATCGCCTATTTACAGAATTCGCTGCCCTGCCCGAAAGAATTTGCCAAGGCCGAACCGACCCCCATCAAATTGCTGCCGATCAGCGTGATCAGTGTTTCGTGATTCGTCGCGGACCCGGGGTAGGCCAGCTTGCTCGCATTGGACCTTGAACGGTTGCAGAGCCACGAGGGACTCGTCGTCATGTCTAGCTATGGCTACATGGCTTTCGTGCTGGCCACATGCAACTACGCGTTTCGCAAGTAAGATCCCTAGGCCGACCGTGACCTAATCATCTTTTAGGAACCGAACGCGCGACCACGCTGACGACTACCTGGACGGCATGTATCGCGTTGAATCGAAGTTATTCAAGCTGCCGAAGGCATTGGATGTACGCTCTTTGCCATGCAGGCTCTTGTTTTCCAACTTTTTCATGGCGGTGCAGGTTGACCTAGCAATCAAATATAAACTGTATTTACGTTGTCTTTTTTTGGTAAGTTGCAACTACATTTAAGGTAGAAATAGTTGCGAAAATAGTCAGAAAAACAGTTTAAAAAAGTCGAAAATTTGGTCATGTTGGGTCGAAAAACAAATTTTCGACATAAAATTACGTTTTTAATTAAAAGTTTTGTCCCCAAAAACATGGTTTTCTTCACGCATGTTGCGTTTTTTTGCAACGGTATTGAATAAGGGCTAAACAAGGGTCAACGTTGGAACTTTAGGGGCCTTTTATGCCTCTCGACCGCAAGCGTGAATACGAGACGGCCAGGCGGGAATGGGCCAACACCGAGCCCCACCATTCGATTCCCACCCGAGAATTGGCCATCGATCGTCTGGTAGTATTTGGCCCGATATATTTTGTTGATCCTTATTGCTTTAGCTCTGGACCGAGCGCCTCTTCGGCCGCGGCAACTTGGTGGGCCGAACGGAATCGTGCCTTCTATCACTCTCTTTCAGCCGGAGGAGTTTGAGGAGAAGCGCGACCCGATCCTGACGGCCTACGACCATGCGCCGAAATAAACTGCCGATTTTCATTAAATTACATCGTATTTTACTCGTGCCCATTAATTACTCGCTGTCGATTGTTCGTCTTCCCGGAATAAACGTTTAAAAGGTCGATTTTGTTTTTCGCAAAAATTTTTACTTGGTTTACTAAACGTATGACATGGCGTCAAGTGCGACTTGTCCCACATTTGAAAAATGCTCTGGACCTGCGCAAAAATTTCTTAAAGGGGCTCGGAAGTCAAAATTTGTAGGCGCGGATTGAAGCTACTGATCGAAAAACGAAAGGGTCACTGCCGAGAAGTGCCAGAAAAGAGATTTCGTTGCGAAAAACGTCAAATCTTTGAGAAAAACAGAAAGGTTTTCGGGGCGAAAACCACTTTTGAGTGCACGGCAATTTCAAGTCGTAATGCCTCGTAACGCGCTCAATCCTTGATCTGGGTGATTCTCGGGCCAATCCTACTATATCCTACTATATATAAAAATAGTGTTTGTGTGTGTGTGTGTGTGTGCCACTTTGAATCCACTTCCGGATGTCTGTCCGAGGATATCTCAAGAAGGGACGGGGATGCGGCTACGTATGATACGTCATTAGGTGCGTAATGGTATAGGGATCACTGCACACATATCAGATTTTTAAAAATTAGCCATTTTCGCAATTAAATTTAGGTTTTTGTAAATACCTCTTTGTTAGTAATAATTAGCATATACCGGAAGTGAGCTGTCCCCTATATAAAGAGGCCGAAGAGGTTGTTTATCATTTTTTTTGTGTCTTCTGAATAGAGGACAATTATGCAAATGGCAAACAGCATGTGGTCCGAGACGGGGCCAGGGTTGAAAAAGTCGCGAAGCGACTTTACGACCCTGGTTTGTCTCTAGAATGATCAAAATTTTATGAGAACTACGAAAATCGCGTTAGAATTTTTAAAGGCGAGGGTTTTCACGTCATAAAGAGCAAAATACCGTGCGGCGCGCGTAGCGTTGCGTTCGCATTTCCAGGAATCAACGCAAAGCGCCGTGTGCCAGATTTGGAGCCCCTTTAGAGCCCCAGTGACGTAACTATCTGCTCTCACTTTTCAGTTTTGCATGGACCGATTTTGCTTGCAAACCGCTAAAAAACCAGGAGCCCGGTCAGAATTCTTTGGATTAGAATTCCCGACGGCGGCAATGTCGACGGCTTCCGCGTCGTTTGACGATATTCCGACGGCCTTGGACTTCTCGGCGTCGGCCTCCATCTCTACGGCCACCACCGCCTCGCCTCCCACATCACCTGCGACGGCTCTATCGCCTCGGGCGGCCCATCAGTGCGTGTGGTATCAGCTCGCGTTCTTTCGCATTACCGGGGGGGGGAATCAAATTTTTTCCTAGGACGGAAGTTTCGAATATAGACAGTGGAAGTGTTTCTAAATGGTTTTTTACTATTTAAACGTGCACCTTACAAATTTTTCTTAAAAAATATCAAAAACATCGATTTTTCGACCAAAAATGGCCTATTCTTGAACAAAATTACGACTTTTTTGAAAGTTTTTAGATAATTTTTCTAGATCAAATGTAGTTATATACTACGAAAAACACCATTAAAACAGTTACTATTAAGTTACTAGACATTTCAAGACGTATACAAAAAGGATCCGATTCCCCCCCCCCCCCCGATAATGCGAAAGAACTTCATAATATTTTTGTTTTTTTTTGTTTTCCTGCCTTTCCATGACGTCTGAAATCACAGCGATCATTTCCGCTGCAGACCAAATTAATAGGTTCATTGTGAAACGACTCGCTTTTTTCAGGCTCGGCTTGGCTGAGATTCTTGGCCACGTTGAGGCCAATCGAATTGAGCGAACCGTCGACCAGAGCTACGACGGTGACGCGTACATCTATGTCAGCGACGTCAGCTTCGCCTCGGCCACCTGTCAGGATTCGTCGATACGGGGGTGTCCCAAAAAATCGACCCCTTTAGAGTTCTGGAGAAAGCCCGGATCGGGATGATTTTTACACCATTCAAAAGCCCCTGAAACGGCGAGTTTGCCACAAGCTTGAAAACCATGTTTTTATTTAAATGCGCTATTTAACAAACCATTTCGCAAAACCTTGCTATTTTTGGGGATGCATACGAGCTAATGTTATCTCAATTTCTCCAAACAAAATCAACAGAAGAAGCCCTTAATTAGATGCAGAAATCGTTCCTTAATGTTTTTAAATGCGTTGTAAAATAGTGGAGTTAAATAAAAACATGATTTTGAAAACTGTCCCAAACTCGTCGTTTCAAGGGCTTTCAGAAACTAACGTCCCCCCCCATCGGCGTCAAGCCCCTTTCTCTGCGTATTTGACTCGACGATTTTCAGGGTCTTCCCATTACCAGCGCCGGCCTCGCTCTGCCCCCGTATAAATCCTGCCGCGAAAATCCGAGTGGGATTTCCAAGTCTTGAATCAATAGACCAACTTTTGCCTCTGTGCCCCTTTTTGTTTCTTGACTGTTAGCGGGCGGGGGTAGCTTTTGTTTTTCCATCAATATCAAGCTGTTAATAATATATATACTGCGTTTTTAAACTGAATTTAATAGGTTTTATTGCTGGACAATTCTAAATGAATACTTTAACGAATTTTCAAAAATCGAAATTTTTGCCCTCTTTTGATTTCCTTCCCTCTATTTTTAACCCAATAAAATTTATAATCATGTTTTGAACAAAAAGCCATCTTTTCGAGAATTTATACAATTTATCTGAACTTTTCATATCTAAAAACTATGTGACGTTCTATAAAAATGGTTTAGATTTTGTTATAGGGCTGTAAAGATTTACAGGGAAAATTTCAACCCCCCTCCCCGCTAACGAACCAGACCCCATTTTGGATGGGGGAAACTGGGGATCCGCCGATATTGAAACCGGAAAAACCGGAAATTCACAGCCTCGTGAAACCTTGCCTTTCCTTTTAATAATAACTGTTCCCGATTTTCTTCGCGTAGTTCGATTTCTGGGCTTGCTGAAAGTACGATTTCTATGCCTTACGGGGGCCGGAAAGTCAGGAATCGAGCTTTTGAAAGTTTAGACCTAGCAGAAAAAGCGCTAAAAAGAACATTTTGCCAACCTTTAAAATATCCTTGGACGTGGCGAAAACGTCGTACTGCGTCAGCAGCTTGCGTGAGTTGACGCGTCAATTATTCATCAGCTAGAAGTTGAGCTTTAGCTGATAGGCCATTGAGCATACCTCCTCGTTTTGTCGCAGAAACTAGGGCACCGCCATCATCAACAGCGGGTTGTTCATCTCGCGCATGCCGATGTCGGTGTAGACGAACTAGAATAAGGAGGGAATCGAATTTCCGTAGTACACGGGTCACACCAAAAGCCGACTTTCACAATCCCTTTAAAACGGATTTTTGCGCACCTTTCCAAGCCGCGACCCGTCATTTTTCAGGAATCCTGACGACTACCCCGCCATGGCCAAATTTACCGTCGACTCGTTAAATAGGAAGCTGGAAGCTGAAGGGCTGACCGGAAGATGCCATGAGTTGCACCTAGAAAGCGTGAGTCTCTCGCTCTCTCTACCTATCTCTATCTCGCAGTCTCTCTCTCCCACTCTCCCCCTTTCTCTCTCTCTCTCTCTCTCTCTCTCTTCCAAACCGCGAGAATACGTTGAATTCCAGGTAATTTCCGTGTCCGCCTGGGTGCCAGAGGCTGACTTTGGCCTCTACGAGATCCGCTTCACCACATTGCCGAACAAAGCTCGCTACAAATCGGTCAGTCTTTTCTTAGGCTTGGATTAGGGTTCGGGTTAGCTTAAGCTTGGCTTAGGCTTGGGCTTAGGCTTGAGGTTAGGTTTACGCTTCTGCTTGGATTTGGGCTTAGACTTAGCTTAGGCTTAGCACTCGGCCGCATTTTGAAAAAAACGCAAATATTTGCCTTGTAAGTCAACTGAGTTTTTTCAGCTCATCCAAATGGCCACCGACGGCTCGTTCATCTACTCGGGCGTCACCGACCGGGCCGACTCGTACGGAAAATCGGCCGCCTGCGTCGCCAACGACAATGCCCCACTACGGCCGCTGTGCTACTGCCGTGACTACAAGCCGAGCTCTCGTCTGCCTCCCAAATGATCCCTGCTAGCCACCCCAATCCTCGCCATTTTTTGTGTATTTTATTTTCCCTTTTCGTGCTGTTGCTAGACTTGGTGCTATGATTTCCGCTTTACGGGTCACCTTTCTTGTCGTTGTCGATGGACAATTTTATACTGGTGATAAAGCTTACTCTCGGCATGTCATGGGTGCCCTCAAAGCCTTACTATTCCTCTGGCCCGGGCTCCCATGGCTGACCCGTAAAGCCTTGTCCCAATGACAGTTTACCATATGGAGGGGCGCCGCAACGCATTGCGCCGGCGCGTCCCCGCTCATTTTATGCAAATTACTCTTGCCACGGATCACGAAACCCATCACGTGCTCCTAATAACGATGTTGAGGCAGACCGTCCGCTAGTTATAAATGCACGGCATATGCGTCTACTACTACAGGCATTCCCGATATATTAGATGTCAAACTGCATACAAATTGCAAACTAAATGGATGCCAGTCTAACCAGTCTATAAGGACGTTACATCTCGGTTTCCGTTGGAGCTGAATAGCTCCAAAGTTCATCGAAATATTCGCGAAGCCTTTTTGCAAAATTCATTAGCTTTTGGCGTGATGAATATGAAATATATTACGCTTTCCCACGTACAAGGTCACGATTCCCACGTTATTTTTTTGCTTTGAATAATTTTCCTAAATTTAGATGGATAAAGTGAAAAACTGCCCCTTCTCCCCCTCTATATAAGCGACCCCCGCTTCCGGTCGATGCTAATTACTTCCTAACAAACGAGCTTTCACAAAAACTTAAATTTAATGTCGAAAATGGTTGATTTTGTAAAATTTGATATGTGTGCAGTCATCTCAAGACCATTGTGCACCTAATGACGTATCAAACATACCCGTAACTTCATCCCCTATCGAGATATCCCCCGGACAGACAGACGGAAGCGGATGCAAAGTG